GAAGGATTAGACAAAAATTTATCCATTCCACTAGGAAAAGCAGGTGAAAGAGCATATTTTGAGCAACACTAAAAATAAAATAAAACTAAATAAAGGTTTTTCCAGGCTGTGAGTGTCTCACTGTCCACTGGGTGCAGGATTCTGCCAATCTGCCACATTCCTTCCCTACCTCTCTAAGGCACCAGAGGGTCCAGGGGATCTAACAGAGCACTGACCCAAAGAACAATATTGTCTTATTTCATTAATATATGGCTGGATTCATGATCTGTATTAGAATAATTAAAACATCATTTAAAAGATGCTTGAATTAATCCCATGAATGGGTTCCTAAACCCAGCCCATGAAACCAAATATCTCACCTAACCAAAAAATAAACCCCAGACACCCAAGTAAGCGTCCAGAAATCCAACTGTGGTGGATGTCACCCAACATGGAACCCCCACGAGTGGCTACGTCACCCAGCTGAGAACTGTTTGTAGGAGTTCCTCTGAGTTTACTCCACCTCATGGGCATTGACCACGTCCATGCTCAACAGAAACTCTACAGCCTGAGTACTCCTGTGCTTAGATTTCTGGCAGTGTGCACCCAGCGGAGGTCATTTTAGGCAGATGGAAAGTCAAATCATTTATGAAGTTAAGTATTCATTTTTATTTACTCATCAGACAGCCAGGTTTTCATTAAATAAATATATATCTAGGCACTTAAAATGTGAATATTTGACACAAGCCTGTTTGACAACACGGAGCCATTAAACGGATCAAGGTTATTCCCAAGGCTCTGGTTCCTCCTGGGAGCAGGTCAGTGGGAAATCTGAGTTGGTGCTTTATCAACCTAACGAACCATAAATGACCCTCCAGCACTCCAGCAGTTACACCATCCCAGTCTGATGACCAGAAGGAGTCTACGTGCTCCAACTGATGTCCACCCAGGATAAGGAAGGTATTAGAAGCAAACCATACATTAAACAAGAAAGTGATTTTAATGATGGCTCCCCAAAGGCACCAGTCAACACTGTGGACCAATGACCTACACGTTTGGGTGATGAGTACACATTTTTAGCATTACAATATCTTTTTTTTTTCAACAGCTTCTGATGGCAAACAAAGTGAAATACTCCTTTTATCTGCGACAGCTTTGTCCTGGATACTCTTCCACCCTTCCACTGGTTTGGTTTAGTGGGAAAACATGAAGCTGAGCTGTAAGGGTCACACCGAGCAGCCCAACTCTCTGCTCTCCTCTCCCCACATCTTTCTCTGCATCCTATCAGATGCACGCCATGGAACTCCAAATTTATGTTGATGTAACTCCTCCAACATCCCTCAAATTGCACGGCTAGAAAACCAGTGTTGTGATGGTCAACCAGAGCAGCTGCTTCTCAGATCTGCAGGCGCAGTGTAGCACAACTGGTGATGGAACATCTCGACTGAGGACAACTGCACACCTCGTATACCCACTGCAAAAACCTTGGAGATGGGTCGAGTAGAAAGCTCACAAAGCACATTTGGAAGGAACCACCATGAAGTTTATGCTTCCAAGAGACCATTTACAATCAAACACAAAACTTCAAATGACATTTTTTTTTAAGGAAAGCACTTGAACACTGAGGTCCTGACAACATCAGATCACTTGAAGCTGTAAACCTTAAGAAGTTTTATGGGATTAAATAAAAACAGCATTACAATTTCCAGGTCTTAATCATCGAACAGATTGTAACAACAAGATAGAATTAGGATGTAAACATGAAGCTCAGGAGACCAGGACTGAAAAAACTCAATTCTTTGTAGAGTTCTGCCTGCCCACAGTGAAATCCACAACTCCTGGAGAAGAGTTTCTTTCCATCTCACATATTGATGTCTGTGTTTTACAAGCAGCAGTCCCCACATCATCATCCCCCTTTTTAATATTAGAGGATCACTACTACCTTGAAAAAACAAACCTCTCCAGGTCAAATCCTGCTGCCAGGTATCAATGTGACATTTGGAAGGGAATATTTGAAACCATTTGATTTTGTTAATTGCCTCTGTATGCGTAGATATGTGAGATTTTATATATAAGGACATATAAAATCATGAACCTCACAACCCTCAAGCCTGAACTACCTCTAGGTAAGAAATACAAGACCTTTTTCAATAAATGTAAAGGGTTTATTTATACCTGAGACATTTTTGCATATTGATGTCTTTGTACCTTTACCTCTAGGTACTCACTTAAGTCTTTTTTCCCAGGCTCTCACACAAAGCCACTGGAGTGATGTGGATTCTTCCCACTAACTCCACAGACTTTGGCCAAGTCCTTCCTTATCTAACCTGGACGTATAAACAAGAGGTGTAAGAGAATTAAACAGATATATATTGAAATAAGAGTTGCTGTAGAAGAGGATGGGCTGGTTTATACAAATCCAGAGCTAGTTCAACACCCCTGATCCTTTTCACAATGCCTGGTTCAAAAGAAAATGCTAGTCCTTTAACATGTCCATACTTGTTGGTTAAAAAGCAACTTTTGGAAATATTTCTCCAGATAAAGGGTTGTTTGCTGTACACAACAAGCTGAAAATGCTCCTTGGCTGAGCTCTTCCTCAGTTCTTGAGAAGATTGACCCATTTCTCCACCCCACAAGCCAGAAACCCAGAGGGGAGGAGTAACAAGTCGCTGTGGCTCCGTGACATTAAGGTCACAGACCAAAGCAGATGGATTGAGATTTTCAAAGACATTTAGGGAGTTTAGGAGCCCAGTTTTTCCTCCTGAAACTCAAGGCATGTGGATGCCTGACTCTTGCAGATTCATTGGACCTTCCTGGCTGTGCTCAACCCTCCTGCTCCTCAGCCCTGCAGCCCCCACGTGCTGAGTGTTAAGGACAAGCACCACCAGGGACACAACCTACATAAGGCTCTTACAGAGTTTCACAGTGTTATTGAATTTGGCAAGAACCAAACTAAATTTAAAAGTTCCCTTTGTAATCTAAACAGCTCAATTAAAAACAAACCACAAAACAAACCACAACAAACCTCACCACGTTTCACTCCATTTTGCTTCTGGTGGGGAATTCCCTAGGAGTGCTTACATGCAAATGTGGTGTCATATCTGATAACACAGCAATTAGAATTATAGTTCAACCAATGGAAAGAGACGATTGGAAGTGAAATAAAGTGTGATTTTAGGCACAGAACTGGACACACTTGAAAAATCAGCAAAAATACTACTACTATATTCCTGAAAGACATCACAGGATGAAACAGCTTCCACGTAGATGAGGACACCCTTCTGATGATGGTTTTTTGCACTGTTTTTTACAGAAAAAAGTTGACTTTAGTGATGATGGCCAGCCAAGCTGACTTTAAACAGCTCTTTCTTCTGTATGGGATGTGATGGGGGAAAGGAAAGCTGTATTTCACTGGAATGAGGATTTCATAGACCTTAGAAAGTTTAGAAATGGTTGATTTAAAATAGGGATAAGTAGCATAGTTCTGTGTGAAGTGAATCAAAAGCTCTTTTCCAAGTAGCAGTTAATTCTAAGACCCAACACCTGCAATAAATGGGTAAAACCAAGTCAGTGTTTGGAACTCCAGGATGAGGACACACAGTGATGGAGCAGCAATGGACCCCCAGTGAGACACAGTGACAAGCATCCGATGGAGGAAACTCTACCGCTTGCATCTCCAGTTGCCTGTTCCAATTTCACAACCACACCACTTCCCAACTCCACTTTTACACCATTCTTGTACCATCCTCAGCATCTAAACTGGAGGAGTTTGGGTGAGAAGACCTTAACTCCCTCCATCCCCAGCTGAAGCAGAGGGTGCAACCCCCCTGACCTCCAGCGCTACGAACACTCCGCGACCCCCCAGTGAAGTCTCAAGGGCCTAGGTGTCCCTTTCCAGAACTCAGGAGCTCTCTGGTGTGATGGCCAACAGCTCCACAACGTTCACTGAGCAACTGGCACAGCGAGGCACTTATGTGACAGGTTTAAAACTCATCTTTGGTAAACACTCATCCCAAAAACTCAGAACGAACGTTTTACTTCCCAGTCATCGGAGAAATCGTCTTTTGCTACTAGTGTGTGTGTGTGTGTGTGCAGGAATCAAAGCACACACAGCACGTTGCTCATATAAAATATTTTTTCAAATGCTGCTGCCAAGGAATTAATTCATCTAAAAAAATGCAGTCCTGGGCTTTTTTGTCTTGGTTTTTTTTTTTTTTTCATACATTAAAGCATCTCTGCTCGACCACAAATTAGCTATAGAAAGCGAGCCCCATGTTCACCTTCTTTCTCATTCCACTGCCTTCATTTTCAAGACCAATTTAATCAGATGGGTTGCATCTCTTACAGCTTCCATTCCCTGTGAGGCAGAGCCGGGGCTCTGACGCTGCATTATTTACACAGCCAAGTCTCTCAGCTGCATCAGTGGAAATTTTGGATTATGCAAAAGCACCGAGTCTGCTCTTGGTGGGGATGTCTCCTGCTCGCCGTGACTACACGGTGCTCTGTGAGGAGAGGGACCTCCTGCCTCTGCTTGGATCTGAGGAGGGATGAGGGCAGAGCCTGTGAAGCAGAGCTCAAACCACCAAGAGACAGCCCATCAACGCCTGTGTTCAGAAGATGCTGCAAATCAGCCCTGCTGGAGCTGCACGGGTAGAATGGATGATCTGCTTTAGTGCACCCAGAACATTTTTGCTCCTAAACCCAGGCGTTTCTACAGAGAGGTATTTTATTGGCTTCTTTTTTTTTCATTTCCACTATTTAAGTTTTGCTTCAGGATTTTTTAGAACCCAGAACTTAGTGCATTTCGTCTTATAAAATTAGAATAATTTACATCCTTCTCTTTTCATTGGAAACAAAAAGTATAGCCCAAACACACGCGGGGGAACAAGTGCTTCACAAACAACAGCCATTTCACCTGCTTCACGACCTGCTTAACGGCCATGGAGACACTGACCAACCCAAGAACTTTGGCAACTTGCACAAAAAGACGTCCTCAAACCAGAAGCGATGATAGAACTCGTTTTAGTGAGGCCTTTATTGGGGAAAGAACTGGAAAGAGAGAGGAGTCTAAGTGCTGAGGAGGTTTTTCCTGGTCCTAAACCATGCTGCTTTGCATCTGTATGTGAAATGGGTACGGCTGGTAGATGACAGGGGCTTGTCCATGAGCAACGTAGTAGCTGCTGAAGTTCCTGTCACTGATATAGGGAGCGGGCTGATAGTAGCACGTGACGTTGGCGGCGTTGGGGATGATGTTTTGTTCTCCCAGGACTTTCAAGGCCAGAATTGTGATCATGTTCAGCGTCTGCCTTCGCTCGTGCCCCATGAGGCAGACTGTGCTCTCGTTCACGACCCCACGCAGGGTCATCAGGTAGTCATACTTGCTCTTCTCCTCCCCGATGAAGTGGTTGCGCAGGTAGGACTCGATTTTCCTCTGCTGCTCAGCAACATCTGGAAAATCAATGAAGAACCTGGAGCACATGTAACGCTCCAGGGATTTAATTTCAGCCTCGTCTGCTGGCTTAAAGTCACGGACCAAGAGATTGCTGTACTTCAGGAGGCCACCTCCTCTGATCTCCTCCGGGTTCCTGGTGGAGATCAGTTTGTATTTCAAGTGGTCCATGGCTTCGTTGAAGTCCCCATACATGCTCTCGGCGATGACCGTGGGGTGAGAGTCTTCTGCCAGGCTGCAGTCTGTCGCCCTGTAAACGCCCAGGATGGAGTCCAGGATGATCTGGAAGGAGTCCACGCTGAACTCAAACTGACGCCTCAGCGAGCTGACAAACTTCAGCTCCACGTTCTTGCCGCTGTTGTTGGACAGGGAGATGAGACTCCAGCGATCGTGGTCGGTGGAGACCTTGACCATCTTCTGCACGTAGGCATCTTTCATGGTCTGGGCAGTGATTTTTTCCTTATTAACACATTTTGGCAAGAAGTCCAAGAGGCAATTAAGAACCGCTTCCTTAACAACCTGGAACTCGAGCTCGCTTGGAAGCTCCACCCCAAAAATGATGTCTAGGTCCTTGTAGGTGGTTCCGTTCTGCTTCAGGAGGATGTGGCTGGCTGTGGAACCGTTCAGGCGGATATCTCGGACGTGGATTTGCTTTTCAGTGAGCTGCTCCTTCACCACCTGAATGATATCCTTCAGCTTGACATCCAGCGTCGGGAAATTCCCTCTCCCGTGAATAGGTATGACCTCAGCTAAGACTTGGTCCAGGATTTTAATCTGATCCCAGGTGAGACTGCTGAATCTGTGGTCCAAGTCCTCAGTCATCGTGATGTCGGTTGGCTAACTAGGGAGAAACAGAGATTGAGAGCCAAATGTTAGAACTCAAACAGGAGAGAGCCTGACGTTGCACTGGGTTGTGACAACCACGTGTCCTCCTTCCTCAGTGCAGGGGCAGAGCATTCAAAGTTCATTTTACAGAGGCACCATCCCAGCTAACAGTCTGAGTCAACCACTGTCACAGGCTTTTAATTGAATTTTAATGTGCTCAGGTTTTAATCCTGCTGAGAAGCCATTGTGTTATTGTATAACCCACGGCTCGAAGTGAAGGCAGTAAACCATATAGACTTCATTTAAAACTAATCACATTAAATAGTTGGTGGTTATAATGAAACTCCAAATAAAATTCACTGCAAAGAGCTAAAAGGAGCAAAATGAGCAAATTTGCTCTTTCTATCCTGCCTAGAAATCTCCCTTTGTCTTCAGTGACCTGAATTTTTAGAACTCCTGAAAGATCAGGAAGGTTTTTAAAAAGATGCAACGTGTTCATTGTTTAATTTAGTCTCTATGAATCAAAAGTATGAGCACATCCCTTCATACCTCTTGTGATGGCTTGAGAACTGGATATTCAATAATTGTTAAGCTGTTTCCACTTTATTTCTGAGTCAAATCAGCTTTGGTTTTTTTTTTAATGGCATGGTAACTCACAGGCAGGTATTGTGGTTTGCTGATAACTTTCTGACTAACCCTCATGCTTGGCTGCTGTGCCTCCACGTGCTGGGTTTGAAGCTGTGTTTGCTGCTCTGAGCTACAGGTGAAGGAAAGGAATATTTCTGGACATAGAAGGATCTTTATTCATTGCCCAAAACAGCAAAAAATCTTTAGTCAGTGCAGGTTTTTTGGGCGCTTCTTTACTCTCCTGAGTCAGATGTGGATATCCTCAACCCATGAGAAGCTGCTGTTCAGACAGTTTATAGATGGAGGTAGAGATACTGAAATCAACCTTGATTACTGAAATGAATGCCTTTTTTTTTCCTGCACAAACACTATAATTTTGCTCTCTCCTTCAATGTGTGACTTTCGGCTGCCTGCCAGCACTGCAAACGTACTCCTCAAACACCAAGAAATGGTTCTGCAGACAGATGGCTAAACTGTATTTTTTTCAGCTAAAGCTGAAGAGTAAAAATGAAGTAAAATCATACTGAGTAATAACCCTGTTGAAAAGTCTACCCTGTTGTTTCTTCATCAGTAGTGCCTCCATATGTACGTTGTCATATATTTTCCTTCCCTCGCCTTCAGGTTCCACATTCTGGAATATTTGAGTAATTTCAAGCAACTTGTGAACTGACAAATGGCTTGGGAATATTACAGAGCTATTTTTTTCACATGCTTCCACTAGAGTTTCAGCTCCTGAGGATGCTAACGAAGAGCAGATGTCATTTCAAGCACCTTTCTGGCCTCGTGACAAAGAACAGAACCAACCGTGTGCTTGAAGTTGAACTCGTGCTTTGAAAGTTGGCTAAATCAGGACCAAAGTTGGGAGTTGAATTGCCACCAAGTTGACCATGTGAAGCTCTTGGATTCTGCCCTACAGTTCTGGCACACCCATGAGGTTCCTGGCATTAAGAGGCAGATAACTCCACCTCCATGACATGGAAATATAGAGATGTTTGCATACCCAGTGAGACGTGCAGACGTTCCTGCAGGCACTGGGAAGATGCCACACTTGAATTGAAAGGAAGAGCAGTTGCCATCCACATCACTGCTTATTTTACATGCTCGTGGCTTTATGTTACCTATTTATTATTCTGATTCCATTCTTATTCCTTTATTGCCACCAACTATTACTAGGAAAAGCTTCCACCCACCCTTTGTAGCCCTTACAACATCCCAGTACATGTTCACCATAAGAAGCAGCTGTTAGAGAAAACCACGGTGACTTTTGGAAGCAGCACAACCCTGGGTGGAGTGAGAAGGTTGGGAGGAGAAGTTTTTGTGTAAATCTTTTGGCTGCCTTGCTTGTCATTTGTGTTATTGATAGGTCAGATTATGGTGGACCAGCTCTAATCACCTCCTAGCCAACTTCTGTTGGGTAAGCAGCAGGTTTGGGGACGTGATTTGCCTGATATTGCAAAACTTTTGAGAGAGCTTTTCAAGGTGAATGCTGGGATGTGAAAGAAAGGGCTTAGAGGAGGCAATGTTGAAATTCAATCCTGTTTACCCTCTTCAAACACTTCTGAAAGTCAGAAGATGGGAGTATCCCCAAATAATACTTCCTTTATTGCACGGTTTTAGTTATTTTAGATCTGATTGCAAAACAGGAAGATTTTAAAATGACAGGCAAAGGTAATGTCAGTAAATATTTCTTTTGTGTGGAAATGCTGCACCTCAAAAACATCATTTCTCTAAAGTGATTCCTGGAGAATCTGTTGATGCTTTGTGAGTTCAGAGCCTCAACATTGATGTCTGAGAAGTGTCTGATGATAAGTACTAAGAATTCTGCGCTCAAACAACACCTTCAACTTTGACAAGCAAGGAAAATGTTCTAGAAAAAACAGGGATCAAGTTGCCAAGAGTGTAATTCATTTAGAGATAGAACAAAATAAACTTTTTAAGAATTATTGACTAATTTGCTTCCAGTTTGCCACCCAGTCTATAACCCTGCACTTTCCTAGAAGGACTTTCTCTTGCTCTTTTCCTTAACCTTGTCTGGCAACAAGAAGAATCTCCAGGCAGTTTTATAGTCATTAGGAACCTTATTTCTTAAAGCAGTGGCAAATTTATTTACTGAGGTGCTCAGGCTAATGTCAGGAGTTATTACTAATGCAAGGCAGCCTCAGTTGCAATTAATCAGCAGCAGTATTGAGGCTCTAATTAGTCAAAGTGTTGGGTAAAACAAGAGAGAACAAGGGACGAAGGGAAAGCAACTCACTGCGTGTGACCACAGCAGCCAGATGGGAAAAGAGGCTGGAAAATCACTTTATTCTTTGGAAAGTGGTGAGGTCTGTGGTGGAGGATGATGCCTGAAGGCAGCTATGTCTGCATGCCCCTTGGCCAGCAGCAGTGTTTTGCCATTTAGAGGAACCATGTGTGTGACCCAGACCTTCAGAAACAAACAGCCTTTGAAACTGAGTATTGAAAAGAGGGTTTTTTGTCCCCTCACTTCATCAGCATTTGTAAGTTCTTGAGACTCTCTTCTAGTGATTTTTCTTATTTTTTTTTGTTTATAGGATTTCAAATGTAACTATAAACTGCACTGAACCCTGAATCCTGCCTGATTTAAGGTCTCTGCCAGACAAAGAGATGAGGAAAAGTAGTTTTTGGGGTGTTTTTTTTTTTACATATACTGGCTAGAGAAGCACAGAATAAGATGGATCAGCTCTAGTCCAGTTTTGTGATATATTATCCTTAATATAAGGCCAGATAACTGTTTCCCTCTCTCAAATTCCAGCTTGCCCTTGACTGGTCACCTTCAGCTGGTGAAGAGGTGGCAATGTGGAGAAATGTTTAGTTCCTGTGGGACCATCAGACCTTCCTTGTTCCACACAACCTTTGGAGAAATGGCTACTTGCAGTCTAGAGGACACCCTCAGCACATTTAGCTCCTATTTTACCAATAAACTGTTTAAGATTCCCTTTTTATACACTCCATGCTGTTGCTACAGTGTGTTTTCAAAGGGCTGGCAATATGCTGGCACTCTCCAGCAGAGGACATCTGAAAGAGCTTTTGTGCAGCTTTGTTAGCTCCATTCTCTCCCCTTTGCCTTCATCTGCTCCCTTGTTTGCCTGTTTTCCACCAATTATGTGGAATACTTTAATGCCCCAACTATCTTTACTTTGCATTTGAAATTGGTTGTGAAGGGACCTTTTAGAGCTGAAGTAAAAAGTCTTGTCAGCTGCCACAGTCACCTTGCTTTGGGGGTTCACCCCAGAGATGCTCCAAATACCAGTTGCATCGTCCCCTTAGATCTCTGGGTTGGTTTGCCTGCATAGACATTAGAGGTATCACTTAATGATTTCCATGATAACTTGCTAAAGGTTTATTTTAATTCAGAGATACACTTCTCTCTGAGGCTGGACATTTTAAAGCATTTTTCATGCTCACTGACTCCAGGACTGCAGCTGGCACAGGCTCTGGAGGCAAGAACGTCAACCGTGGAAGGAGTCCCAGTCATCATTTAAATGTGGATGAGACAAGCAGAAGCAGTAAAGCATCTGGGGGATCCTAAATGGGGACATATTTAAACTGGTTTGACAGTGTTTTTCATGAGTTTTTCCCCTCCATTAATGTTAATGCATGCAGTGAAGACACTGTTTGTTTATCCTGTTATCAGGAGAGAACGCCTGAGTTGCCATCAGTTTTCAGTACAGTTCCCATCTAGTTACCCTGAAATAACAAATAATAACTCAAGGCCATATGCTCTTCTCTGAGATAAGGCTCCATGGTGTGCAAAATCCACTGCAGCAGTTTGCCTGGCCTGTGCCACACAACGTGACCTTCAAGGGCAGGACAAGCAAAGCAGAGAAGGAGGAGAGACTTGATCCACAAAAACGTGTCCTACCCTGCCTCCAACCCAAGGAGCAGGGAAAAGCAACAGAGTCATCTACCAGCCCTTCTCCCAGAGGAAAAGGAGTTGCAGAGCAGGACAATGCAAGGGCAGCTGTACTCTGCTACAGCACAAAGCTGGGAAAGGGAACTGAGCAGCCTACACCTCAGCTGGAACGTTCCAGGGCATTGGTTTGGAGAGCTGGCAGTTCTCAGGAGGGCCAAAATAACTGAAGTTTTGGGGTTAAACCCTCAGCCCTGAATCAGAGTGGGCATAGGGGTGATGCCCACAACCAGGACACTCCTAATTGGTTTTCACCCAGGGTCTGGCCAGCCTTGGGT